GAAAAAGCCCTCTTGTGCAAGAATACTTGCTCAAGAGGGCCAGTGTAGACAGGGAAGAATCGTTTTGCGCAAAAAAGCCCTGACGGCTAAAATGGCGATCGGGGCTTTCTTGTGCAAAATCACGTCTAGACTGGCCACGGATGCTTTGGCGCAAAAGCACTTTTTGTGCAAAAGCATCCTTGCCAATCTAGAAGCGCTTTAGTGGAAATACTTTTAACGGAAAAACTTTTCCATTAAAAGCATTTCCGCAAAATCATATCTGACTCTGTAGCGAGTTTAACCGGCTGTGTGTCTTCTTCCCCTTCAGCATCAGAGAGCTCCCATTCCCAAGAGTCCTTCCTTGCAACTGAGTCCTGATGGCCTTTGATCAGAGCCATGGCAGTAAGAGAGAGGAATAGCGGTTGTGCTGAGCCAGGGGCAGGACATTAGGGGTGCATGTGGCAGCAATCGCACAAAGGTCTTTTGCAGCACCACAGGTTATTGGTCAAAAGAGGTCGGGAGGTGGTGATGAAAGGGCTATGACAACAGGCAGGTAAGAGGCATCTACTTCCATCTTTGAGAATCCAGTTTGCAGGTGGGTACTTTTTCTGCTGTGCTCTGTCCCCACTTTAGTCCTACTGGACACTGGGGTTTTGTTTGATGAACAGGGCGTGCGACAGTGTGTGAGAGAGACAGAGACTTTGTGACACAGATATTTTGTGTGTGTGTGTGTGTGTGTGTGTGTCAGCATGCTGGACTGGCTGGATTCGCCCGTGGGCCAGATTTTACTCACCCCTGCTTTTTAAAATGTCCAAATGAGGAGATAAATCAGTGGTGATTTGAATGAAATTTCTGCTCACTGTGGACACTGATAACCCCGCATGGCTATGGCTCAACGACAGAACCTGGGTAAAGTTGCCAGGTGTCCGGTTTTGAACCAGACAGTCCAATGTTTGAGCTTTCTGTTCAGTAAAAAAACCTGAGAAAATATAAATGTCCGTTATTTTCCAAATAAGATGTAATGTCGATTGTGATGTAATGTCAAGTGTGTCCAGTATTTTTGGTGAAACCACCTGGCAACCCTAACTGGGGGCAGAGGCAGTTGTGTATGGCAGTACCCAGGGGTGGGGAACCTACCGCCTGGGGGCTGGATGTGCCCGCTGGCTTGCCTGGTCTCCCCCCAGCATTGGCGAGCCGGTACTGATGCTGCAAGCCCCCCTCACTACCTCCCCCACCCCCGCGGGGCTGCGGACACAAAATCTGCTAGGCTGGGCGCCCCAAGGCTCCGGTGTGAGAGGGGAACGCGGGGAGCGTCTTTCACCTCAGTGAAGGATCCCCCCTTCTGCAGGAGGCGTGTGATCAGCATGGCCGCGGGCCCCCACAGCGCCGCACCAGGCTCGCACTTGGAAGGGACCAATAACGACCCCTCCCCCACCCCCGCGGGGCTGCGGACACAAAATCTGCTAGGCTGGGCGCCCCAAGGCTCCGGTGTGAGAGGGGAACGCGGGGAGCGTCTTTCACCTCAGTGAAGGATCCCCCCTTCTGCAGGAGGCGTGTGATCAGCATGGCCGCGGGCCCCCACAGCGCCGCACCAGGCTCGCACTTGGAAGGGACCAATAACGACCAGCCGGGGCCCACAAAAACGTTAATCCAGCCCCAACGGCCCCTCCAGTGTGGGCAGCCCATTCCCGGG